AGTGGGGTCAGTGGTAGTTTCAATGGAATGTCCCTAAGAACCTTCATTTTTAGAGATTTTTTTAAAACTATTCATTTTTTATTTTTGGCCACAAAACAAGTCTTAATACATTTAAAAAGGCTAAGGTCACAGAAAATATGTTCTCTGGCCAGAACAATAACAGAAGGAAATTTAGAAAATTCACAAATCTGTGGAAATTAAACAACACTCTCTTAAATAAACAATGGGTTAAAAAGAAATATCACAGGGAAATTCAAGAGTACTTTGAGATAAAAGTCAATGCACAACATATCAAAATTTATAGGATGCAGTGCTTAGAGGAAAATTTGTACTTGTAAACAGCTATATTAAAATGCTACATTCTTTTTTAACATATTAATCTCTTTGAAAATTTCCTTTCATATCCTGGATTTTTTTTCTTGTTTCATTGTGTTGTCTAATTGAGTCTTCTATCTCAGTGAAATTTCCTTAAGATTGTTACTCAGAATTCCTTTTTAGTCATTTCAAGGGTTTCCTGCTCTGTAGGGTCCGGTATTTGACAGTTACTGTATTCTTTTGCTGGTGTCATTTTTTCTTGAGTTTTCGTATTTCTGCTCTCTCTACCTTGATGTCTGGTCATCTGGTAGAGCAGTTGCTTCTTCTATTATGCTGGGGTGGACTTTGAGGGGGGAGATGTCCATCTCCTTGTGTCAATGTAGCTGAGCAGCTGGAGGGCCACCTACATGGTAGCCGTGGCTACTGCTGTGGCGTCCACAGCTTTTGCAGCAGCCGTGGCTCTAGCAGTGGCTGTGGTGGGCCACCCCCATGGAAGTGATGTTTTCAGTGTGCTCCTGGGGATGCTGCCTCGGCTCCTGCCCTAGGACCCCAGGCGTGCTCTGTTCCTTGCCTGCATCTGGGCAGAGGGAGCGACCCTTGGCTCCTGCCTCAAGATTTTTAAATAGTATCTGAAACGTCCTGTCAAACCAGTAATTCTTTTATTTATGTGTTCTCTCTGTTAATACCTTTAGTTCTGGTACATCATGGTTAGCAAAAAGTTCTTATTAATCCTGTCCTTCCAGTCCAGGTGTTTTGTTCACAAGAGTTGGCATGTTTGTGAGATCTGGAGCAGCATCACAAAATATCTGTACATAAGTTTGTATGATCAAAGCTGAAGTATGATAATTTGCAAATCACACCCACATTGTTTACTGTAAATACTAGCCATTTGTAAAACTACATTTTCCTTTCTTATTGATTAACCTACTGGTATGAGATTACCCTACCTAGATTACTCGATTGCTAGTGCCAGGAGATCTAAAAGCCTATCTGTATTGCTCATAAATGATAGCATATGGTACAAGGTGCTTACTCAATAAATGATTTCTGGATGAATGAATGTCAGCTTGTTGTCATTAATAATGTCAACATCATGAGCTGTTATTCTATATCAGCAATATACTTACTATCAGAAAAGTGAAGAGCATAAGTCTGGAGTCAGGCTGCCAGAACTCAAATTCTGGGTCACCTCTTGGTAGCAGTGCAGCCTCTCAAGTTCCTTACTTTATCTAATAATATGAACTAATTACAATGTCCACCTCATAAGATTTTTGTAAGGTAAATGAGATAATACAGGTCTGCTAGGAAAATGGAACAATTTGGTCAGGCTCCCCTCAACTCGGAGCTGGTTCAGGGCAGTTCAGTAAACATTGTATGTGTGGGTGGAGTATGTGCGCCTGCAAGGTGGCGCCACTTTGGCTGGTTTTTACTGCCTCGGGCGCCGGCCCTGCCTGGCCGTCTTTTTCCAGACCTGCAGCTTCCAAGGACCGTGTGGCCAGTTGCCTAGCTTATAGACCTGCTGCCACTTTGGCTGGTTTTTACTGCCTCGGGCGCCGGCCCTGCCTGGCCATCTTTTTCCAGACCTGCAGCTTCCAAGGACCGTGTGGCCAGTTGCCTAGCTTATAGACCTGCATGAAGGGGTCTGGTGACCCAGCCTGGCATGGAAGGGTCTGGTGGCCCAGCCTGGCATGTGAAGGGCTTGTGACCCAGTCTGTGAATGGACTTGAGGGGTCTGGGAGCTCCAGACCCAGCCCTAGCTCAACCGTCGGCCCAGTCGGTGCAGGATCACTGGCAGGTAAAAAAGCCGCGACAACTAGTGTGGTTGCCTAGTTTTACAAAGTCAAATTGTACTTAGGGCAGTACCTAGTGAGTGCTCAATAAATGTTAGCTATTGTTGTTATTATTATTGTTATTATTATTAAATATCCCAAATTTATTTTCTATGTTATTGAAATGTTATTTAACTACTGAGAAAAGTATTGTTCTTAAATGACATTCTGAGAACGCAGCTCCAATAACAAGGTGATGGCAGAAGCACATGTCTGCAGGTCAACCAGAGAGCCCAGAAAAAGAAGATTTTAGTCTAAAAGAAAGATTTTTAGACATCACCCCACCTCCCCCACTCCATCTACACAAAAAGCTTCTCCAGTTACAAGTATTTTGGTAAATTTGGCAACCATATCCACACATATGCTGGAACAAGCCAGGATCTGGCTGCTCCTGTGCCTGTGATCCATGGCTAAGCTCTGGGGCAAATCAGGTCACAGGCCTGCCTGCACTTTCACCCCTCGGGTTACACTGGAAATACAACATTAAACATCATTTTCTGCAGATGTAGCTTTATATAGACAATCTTCATCTGTGCATGCAAGACCACATGGAGTGGCCTTCTTTACACAATCCAGTACTAATGCTATTCAGGTATGGGGGTGCTGAGGACCCCTAACGGGCATTCCTGGCCCCTAGATGGGTCTCACTTTATCAGCATGATTCCCCTCTCCTAACAACTCTCTGGTTGCTAAGAGATTGTTTCCAGATCTTAGGGCTCACTCTTTATCCTGTTCCAGACCACAGCAGGGTTTACTTTTCCTCTTATGAGTTTGCCAGGAGCAAAAAGTAACATCCCAACCTCCTGTCAACTCAACAACAGATTTATTGCAATTAACTAGAAGGACACTTGTTAGTACAGGAATACCATATGCTTCAGCAAAGAGAGGATCCCAGCTTGTGGGTGGCCTTTACAAACAGTCAGGGTCCTGCCAACACAGGCTTTTTTTTTTCAGTTGTACAGTCATTAACAGCGCAATATCCAGACCCAGGAATGTTTCCAAGGTGCAGACACAGAGACTGGCACTCAGATAGCAAGGTCACCTCCAGAGCAACAGTTCACGACAGACTGCAGCAACTACAACAGGTTTTTTGTTTGGATTGCTGGACCCCCACCCCAATGGCCACCCTTCTTTTCTTGCTTACCAACAGAATCCTAGGTACACTGGGGGCAACACCATTCTCAGCTGAAAAATACTACATTTCCCAGTCTGCCTGGGTTAAGATCAGTGACTTGCAAAGCGAAGTCTCCAGGAGACTTCTGGAAAAGTTTTGCCTTCCTGATACAGGTGCTGTCCCCCTTGCACTCCCTGTCTGCCTCTCCAGGGTTTGAGTTTTGTGAATGCTAATTTGGCTGATTCTACGTTTCCTTTCAATTCCTTCACAGGTTGTAATCATGTTCAAAGGTTTTGAGAGTACTGGAAGTCTTATTTCTAGGTAGGGAATTCTTATGTATGAGCTGATTACTTTTTAAAACTGATTCATATGGTTTGACGCTGAATATTCTAAGTGAAAATGATCAAACATCCGCCCTTTTTCAAAGTTACTAATTCACACACCGACAAACGCAGGAGTAGGTAATTAATTACAGAAAAATAAAAAAGTTTGAAGAATGAGCAATTTATTTCAATAAAGTGAAAGAACTAATTTTGCTACAGTGGGAAAAAAAATGAATTCAAAATTTGCTGCACTTAACTGCATCCCCATGTATCTGCGCACGACGGCTTTATGTCAGTGTCTCAATTGCCTCTACTTTCTATTCACGCCAAGGTACTGAATGAGAAATATATCAAGTTGACTGATTGCTTGACATGCCTGACTTGGAGTGGCTTCTTCACCACTCCTCTCTTTCTTTTCACTCCCAGTAAATACTTCTGACATTGACATTTACTATATTGGAAACGACAGGTGCCTGAGGGCATGTACATCAAAGTAGTTAGGATCAGAACGTTTGCTAAGGATTATTTTTTTAACGGAGCAGAATGTAGTGCTATTAAATCCTTGAAATGCAAAGCCAAATGAATGGCCTTTATTGTAAAACAAAATAATCCAAGAAACTGACAGAGAAGCTCTTAAATATTTAGTACAAACATACTTATTTTCCAAACCCTGCCATTATTGTGAAGTACACTTATAATCTAAATACCCTTCTCCTTTCTTCCCTTTACAACATACAATTTCAATGTGTTTATAGAGAGAAGGCCTTAAGGGAAAGCCTTATTCACATTCCCACAAAAGAAATAAATACTCGTTTCTAAGTTCAATTTAACTGAACTTGACTAACAAACTAAATTTGAGGCTCCAATCTTCATAACCGACACATATTAGGATGAATGATCTTTCACTGTCAACAAATTCTTATTAATATAGCTAAATAGTTAATTAAATTATTCAAGTGAATTTATTGCATTCTTATTATGTGCAGAGTATTATTTCAAAGTACACACTTCCACAGATATAAAGTGGGCCACTGAAAGAGTAACTTCAGAAGTTTAGGACCTTGACATACTCAAAATACCTAAAGGTAGGAAAGGTTGCTGCTGTTGCTGCTTCCAGAAGTGCTCAGTTTATTTCTAAGGAATAGCTCAGGCATTGAAGGAATATAATTCAGACTTAAGCATTAATAAAAGATGGAGTCAGGGATGGTTGTACCTTTATGACATAACACAAACAAGGTAAAGTACATTCTAGTGGTCTAAAATGTTAGCATCTGTGCAAGGCACTTTAAAAAGAAACCAAAACCAATTTCAAAATAAACCAGGATACAGACTAATTGCAATTTATAGGAAAGATACAAATGTAGAAACACCAGCTCTTCCCTCCAGTGCTGAAGTTATACTTCCCCAGACACACTGCCATCATTGGGAAGCATGCGGGTAGACTGGGTAAATTTATAGTATATTAAATAATTCAATAACATAGCCAAGTTTTTGTGCATGGTCCCAAAGACTTCTCAACTTATTTTTCAACATTACAGTTGTAGGGATGGAAATTGAAAAAATAAGTGTTTTCTTTACATGGCAGACAGGTTTCTTACAGACCCCCAAATGAAAATGTTTCAACTTATTTTTCAACATTACAGTTGTAGGGATGGAAATTGAAAAAAATAAGTGTTTTCTTTACATGGCAGACAGGTTTCTTACAGACCCCCAAATGAAAATGTGACACATCACCACCATAACACAAGCTGTTTTGTCTGTCATTATGACATAACTTCATAGGGCATCAGTCTTCCAAGGTCTAAGTGCTTCCTTCACATGCCTCTACTTTATTTTTCTTGAACTAACTAGGTTCTCTTTCCAGGTCAAGTGTTATCTTCTGGCAAAGTACCTTCAGGATAAATATGCTTCATCGTTTACATATCCCACAATTCAAGCCTCCATTTACAAGCTTAAACTCAGTGCCTGGTCTCTATATTCAGAATTCCCCACACTTACTTAAAAAGATCATTTAAAAACACTAGATTTTTAAAAATTCCCTCTGAAGGAGAGAGAATTATTCAAGAAGAGCAATGCTATATCCAGCTCATGCCCCAACTCAGAAAGTCAAACTCACCCTCATCTCCTGAAAAGAGCCTCAGTGGTCTCCTATTCAGAAACCTGTTATTCTTTTTATTTTCTAAATGTGGTGATTAAATAAAATTAAATGCAAATAATAAACAGTAATTAAATAGCAAACTTAAATAAAAAGTACACAGTCTGGCGGTTTTCAGAGGTGATAAGAGAAAAGCCAGTTGCCAGTAAGTTCACATTCCTTTTGTACCAGTTTCTGCAGTGAGTGGGCAACACTGCCCTCCAGAGGGCTGATTATGTTACAACTCTTAGTTCATATGGTGAAAATTACCCCAGGACGCATTGACCAGCATGGAGCACGGCACCTGCACACGTGCTTGCACACACATATTCTTTCTTTTGCTTCTGGGACACAGCCTGTGCTTGACCTTCTGCGAATGACCCTGAAGACCATGGAGCCCCTAGAGTGGCCCTGAGACTTCCTGACAGCTCCATTGAGGAAATCTGAAATTACATTTGTTGCAGTGGTTTCAAACGGCAGTGTGCATCAGAAACACCCACAGGGCTTGTTTCAACACAGGTTGCTGGACCCTCGGTCCAGAGTTTCTGATTCCATAAACCAGGCTTGGAGTCCAAGAATCTGCCTTTCTAACAAGTTCCTGGGTGATGCTGACTTGCCAGTTCANTCCACAGATATAAAGTGGGCCACTGAAAGAGTAACTTCAGAAGTTTAGGACCTTGACATACTCAAAATACCTAAAGGTAGGAAAGGTTGCTGCTGTTGCTGCTTCCAGAAGTGCTCAGTTTATTTCTAAGGAATAGCTCAGGCATTGAAGGAATATAATTCAGACTTAAGCATTAATAAAAGATGGAGTCAGGGATGGTTGTACCTTTATGACATAACACAAACAAGGTAAAGTACATTCTAGTGGTCTAAAATGTTAGCATCTGTGCAAGGCACTTTAAAAAGAAACCAAAACCAATTTCAAAATAAACCAGGATACAGACTAATTGCAATTTATAGGAAAGATACAAATGTAGAAACACCAGCTCTTCCCTCCAGTGCTGAAGTTATACTTCCCCAGACACACTGCCATCATTGGGAAGCATGCGGGTAGACTGGGTAAATTTATAGTATATTAAATAATTCAATAACATAGCCAAGTTTTTGTGCATGGTCCCAAAGACTTTTCAACTTATTTTTCAACATTACAGTTGTAGGGATGGAAATTGAAAAAATAAGTGTTTTCTTTACATGGCAGACAGGTTTCTTACAGACCCCCAAATGAAAATGTGACACATCACCACCATAACACAAGCTGTTTTGTCTGTCATTATGACATAACTTCATAGGGCATCAGTCTTCCAAGGTCTAAGTGCTTCCTTCACATGCCTCTACTTTATTTTTCTTGAACTAACTAGGTTCTCTTTCCAGGTCAAGTGTTATCTTCTGGCAAAGTACCTTCAGGATAAATATGCTTCATCGTTTACATATCCCACAATTCAAGCCTCCATTTACAAGCTTAAACTCAGTGCCTGGTCTCTATATTCAGAATTCCCCACACTTACTTAAAAAGATCATTTAAAAACACTAGATTTTTAAAAATTCCCTCTGAAGGAGAGAGAATTATTCAAGAAGAGCAATGCTATATCCAGCTCATGCCCCAACTCAGAAAGTCAAACTCACCCTCATCTCCTGAAAAGAGCCTCAGTGGTCTCCTATTCAGAAACCTGTTATTCTTTTTATTTTCTAAATGTGGTGATTAAATAAAATTAAATGCAAATAATAAACAGTAATTAAATAGCAAACTTAAATAAAAAGTACACAGTCTGGCGGTTTTCAGAGGTGATAAGAGAAAAGCCAGTTGCCAGTAAGTTCACATTCCTTTTGTACCAGTTTCTGCAGTGAGTGGGCAACACTGCCCTCCAGAGGGCTGATTATGTTACAACTCTTAGTTCATATGGTGAAAATTACCCCAGGACGCATTGACCAGCATGGAGCACGGCACCTGCACACGTGCTTGCACACACATATTCTTTCTTTTGCTTCTGGGACACAGCCTGTGCTTGACCTTCTGCGAATGACCCTGAAGACCATGGAGCCCCTAGAGTGGCCCTGAGACTTCCTGACAGCTCCATTGAGGAAATCTGAAATTACATTTGTTGCAGTGGTTTCAAACGGCAGTGTGCATCAGAAACACCCATAGGGCTTGTTTCAACACAGGTTGCTGGACCCTCGGTCCAGAGTTTCTGATTCCATAAACCAGACTTGGAGTCCAAGAATCTGCCTTTCTAACAAGTTCCTGGGTGATGCTGACTTGCCAGTTCAGGGACCACACTTTGTGAGCCAGACACTGCTGGGCCCTTAGTCTCACTTAATACCTCACAACAAGGTGAGGTTTTATCATCTCTGTTTTACAGAACAGAAAGCCAAGTCTCAGAGAGATTAGGTGGCCAAGGTCACATGGCAGTGGCACGGCCTGTACTAAACCCAGGACTTCTAATTCAAAACACGTTGCTCTCTCCTCTACACTAGGATGTCAGTAAGTGTATTTGTGAGTCATCTTTCTCAGCCGTAGCTTCTTCCTGCAAGGGAGCATGACTGTTTAGTTGGCTTCCCTCTCAGAATACCTGGAGGTCAAGATTTGAGGCCACCCAGGAAAGGCCCACTCCATGCCCAGGCTGGATCTATGAGTGAGTAAGCTGAGAGGAGAGAGAAGAGGGCATGTCAGCTCCAGGGCCTCTCTGGGTCCTGAGCCCTCCCACAAAGTTCAGAGGGGGTCTGGTTTGCTCTGGATTCTGGAGATCTTTATATCAGAAACTCTGGAAGAAGGATTTTAAAGCACGTGCATCCTCTCAAAGCCTGGTGGGGCTTGGAGAGGACTCGGAAAGAGGCACTCTGTCCATCCTCAGTTCAAACCACCAGGGCTGGGGCAGGGACCCTGAAACAACCATAAAACAGGCCTGCCTGCCCAGCTGTGTGAAGACAGAAAGGTTTTGAAGAAGAGAAAGGAGTTCAGGTCACATACTCCACTAGGATCACACAAGTGAAAAGACCCTAGCACTTAAGCCCGGTCAGGATGTCACAATGGTGGGAAAAGAAGGGCCATGAGTGCCCACCCATTTCATGAACAGTTTTTCTCATCCTTTGTTTTAAGCTCACAACCCAAGTTTCCAGAAGGAGCTACAAACTGCAGCATCCCATGGGAATGGTTTCTGGACTTGGTCATCAGGAGGAAAGGACATTCTCAGAAAAACAGCCCTGAGGGCTGGTCAGCAGAGAGCTTGAGGTCATGGCCACGGCTGGACTTGGCGCAGAGCCGGACCCGGGTCTCCAGAAGCTCACTGAGTTCGTCCAGAGCCCCAGTGCAGGACTCCAGGCTCTCGGTCAGTTTTTGAATCTTGGCCTTCAGCACGGCCTGGCTAACCTTGGTGGCCCCCTCGGCCTGCCTGGGGACGAGGAAGCCACGTGAGCCGAAGAAGACGATGAAGTAGACAGAGTTGTACAGGGCGATGGAGGCGTTCCTGCCGCTCTGCAGCAGCTGGCGGTCCCCGCGGCCCTGCCACCCGCAGAAGAACTCCAGGCAGCTCAGGATCTCACGCATCTGGTCCTGGCAGGTGGCCGCGATCTCCTGCACCCTCCGCACCTCCCGGGAGTTGCAGAAGATCAGGGAGAGGTCGGACGTGAGGGTGACGGCCCCTCCGGCGGTGGCCACCCCCAGCCCCACGGCCGACGCCAGAAGCGAGGCCCCCAGGGTGACGGGGCTGAGCGAGAGCCCCACGATGGCGGCGACGGCGCCCGCGGCGCTCAGCGAGCTGCCCGCCACGCTGGCCGCCAGGGAGCGCCGGCGGAGTCGCTCCAGGCGCCGGGCCGCGTCGC